TACTCTAGGTATGGAAAAGTGCACAACAAGACCAGTAAATCCCAGTACACACCACAATAAAATCGGACGAACGATCGTCTGGTTTTCCTCAATGTTTCACACCAGGTCAAAACCAAGAGCTCTCGTATGACAAAACATGAGGGGAATGGGGGAAAAAAAAAGCGCCTTCTAAGTGCAGTACATGTTAGTATTTTAACCCTTTCAACGCTGGTGCCTCCCGGCCCTTTAAGGGGTTTCTGACACTGGGAGGCAGGGTGGGGTTTAGGGTCATGTGACCGCCGTGATTGGCTGTCATGGCAGTCACATGACCAGAAAGGTCCCGATTGCAAGGAGAGAGCAGGACATTTACGTGGGATGCCGACACATGCTGGGAGCGTGCAGGGCGTGTGCTCTCAGCACATGTTTGTTTACAAATGGTACGCAAATATGCAGCCGCTCTGCGTCAAGGCCCAGCCACCGAGAGGCCGCATATTTGCATACGCTCTGTGTGAAGAGGTTAATACAAATCTGACAAAAACACTCACAATGTCTTAGGAAAGAAACAGCCCATCAGACATAGATAAGGTGTGTTGCTGGTGTCATAAATCTGACCTCTCCTGTGCCTGACATGCATCACTGTTGATGGATAGGAAGCCTCAAGCCACTGCAGCCAGATCCTGAAGCCCTAGGCATCAGTGTGGAATGCACTTAGCAAGCAGACGTGACATCATCAGAAGAGGGAAACACCATAGAAAGACAAGGCTACATGCTCGGAGCTCACAGCTCCTTCTAAAGGCCTGGATGGTGAATTACAAGCACCCTATTTATATTGGTAGTAATAATTGGAGGACTATCTGACACAGCAGGTCCAATGAATGGGATGACAAAGAGTATACATCTCTGGGCGTACATAATGGACTAGATGTAATGTATCTAATATACATGCATGCATCTATACATAAAATTATGCCCATGAAATCTCTAATACATTAGAACATATAAAAGTGTATATGTTCGCCAAAAAAAAATATAAAAGAAAAAAAACTTTAGAATATATATAAACTTTTATAATATATATAAAGGTATCATGAAAGTACCTATAAAAAGCATGTGTACTGCATTATTAACATGCCATAAAGCTGTACTTACTATAGTAAATTTTCACAGATTCCCCACAGGTCACTGCAGTCCTTACAACCATTGTGGCAGGACCAAAGGAAAGTCCCCTGAAATATAGGTGTCACAGTGGGTTAATAGTGGAATAGTGTCAAATAAACTACTATAAACCGTGATATGAAGAAAGAGTAATGCTAAAGGGTAATTATAACAAGGTATGTATTTCTATTTCTTCGTTTAAGCCTCCTGGCGCAAGGGTATCCAAAGTGTACGACAAAGGATTTTTTTTTTTCTGTTGTTTCTGATCATGCGCAATCTTTCATACCTAATTTTTCTCATATGAAAACCATGCAAAAACAGTACGCAATAAACAAAAATTGTTAGTTATCTCCATGTACGAGGAAGTTTTTGCAGTTTGTCCAAATTTTCATTTGGAAAGTCTGAATGGGATATCGACAGTTGTGTACACACTATACGAAAATCAAACGGTTGTGCCTTGTACAGAATTTTACTTCTGATTTTCTCATAGCGTGTACCCCAGTTAACAACTTGCTAACTGCGCTAAAGCCGAATGATGGCTACAGCCCAGTTGTCCAGTTCTGGGGGGGGAGTTCATATGATGTCCTCCCAGAACGCTCCCTCCGGCGCACCCCCAGCGGCGTTCACCTAGCGATCTCCATGATCGCTGTGTCCTACGGACACAGCTAATCACGTGATGAGGTAAAAGACCAATCACAGTGGCCTTTTACCACGTGATCAGTTGTGTCCAATGACACAGCAGATCGCAGAGTAAATGCAGTTGCAGGTTATCGCCAGCACTTTTGGAAAGTACTGCCGATAACCAGCAAATGTGACAGAACAGATCGGTACTGATGATCAGTGCCCTGCAGTGCCACCCACCAGTTCCCATCAGTGCCCTGCAGTGCCACCCATCAGTGCCTAGCAGTGCCCCCCCATCAGTGCAGTACAAGCAGTTGCGGCCATCAGTGCTGCCCGTCAGTGCCACCTATCAGTGATGCATATCAGTGATGCATCATCATTGCCTCCCACCAGTCAATGCCCACCAGTGCTGCCTCATCAGTGCAGCCTATCAGTGCCCACCATTGCTGCCTATCTGTGCCACCTCATCAGTGCCCATCAGTGCAGCCTCATCAACAGAGGTATATACTCCAGAGAGAGAGATATCATTTTACCCCTGTACAAATCATTAGTAAGACCTCATCTGGAATATGCAGTTCCGTTTTGGGCACCAATTCACAAAAAGAACATTGGGGAACTGGAGAAAGTACAGAGAAGGGCAACCAAACTGATAAGAGGCATGGGAGGAGATCAGCTATGAGGAAAGATTAGAGGAACTGAATTTATTCTCTCTTGAGAAGAGGAGATTAAGGGGGATATGATCAACATGTATAAATACATCAGTGGTTCATATAGTGAACTCGGTGTAGAGCTATTCCCCCTGAGGTCATCACAGAGGACAAGGGGGCACTCTTTACATCTGGAGGAACAGAAATTTAATCTCCAAACACGGAAAGGTTTCTTCACAGTAGAGCTGTGAAAATGTGGAATAGACTCCCTCAAGAGTTGGTTCTGGCCAGCTAAGTGGATTGCTTTAAAAAAGGCCTGGATTCTTTCTTGGATAAACAGAATATAACTGGATACTAACATTTATAGTTAAAGTTGATCCAGGGAATATCCGCTCACCTCTCGGGTGATCAGGAAGGAAATTTTTTTCCCTGTAGGAGCAAATTGGATTGTGCTTTGCTGGTTTTTTTTTCTTTAACGGTTGAACAGGATAGACTTTTCTCTTTTTCAACCAGACTAACTATGTAACTATGTAACACACATCGATGAAAGAGAAAAAAGACCTGTTTGCAAAATCTTATAATAGAAACAAAGAAAAACTTTTTTTAAATTTTTTGCAGTTTTTTTTGTTTATAGTGCAAAAAATAAAACACCCAGCGGTGATTAAATACCACCAAAAGAACGCTCTATTTGTGTGAAAAAAATGATAAACATTTCATATGGGTACAGTGTTGCATGATCACGCAATTGTCATTCAAATTGCAACAGTGCTGAAAGCTGAAAATTGGCCTGGGCATGAAGAGGGTAAAAGTGCCCTGTAGGCAAGTGGTTAAGGCGGATTTACTAAGAGACTAATGCTTTAGTCTTAAATTCTCCTCTCTGCTGCTGTCCAATATGAAACCTACACCTTACCACTTTATGTATGTATGTGTTTTAAGTGGGAAAATGTCAGAGGAACAGAGATCTTCACAAAGCTGTCACAGTCAGCTGCCCTGCCCTAGGAGCGGGTTTTGGAAACACACAATACCATCAGAAATCCTTTGATAAATGAGTAGTCTTATTTGCACTAATTACAAACCTGATTATGTTGATAACTCGCTTCTCATGGCTTTCATTGCAAAAAGTCTGGTTTGGTGTTCTGCATCCTTGTAAAATTAATTATTTTTCTAAGAAAAAAAAAGTTGAATTATTTAGGATTGCATAAACATATGTCTGCTCCTCACATTGGTTCTATAATTATGTTATTTCTTCTCTTGCGTTTAAAATGATTTTATCATTTAACAACTTAGGCAGAGAATTGGTCCTGTTGCAGATTTGCAAACTGCATACTGAATAGCACATTTATGTAGAAACACTTATTCAGACTGCAAACAACAAACTTACAAAATGTATATGTGAATCAATGTTTCTCAAACATATAATGAAGATATTCTGTACAGTGAAAAAAGCATAGATGCTGAACCCAGTAGTTTTGGATTCAATGATAAACTGGAATTCCATATATATTCAGAAAAACCAATGCTTAATGTATAGGCATTTTTATTAAAAATGTTACATTTTAAACATTCTTGACACAAAACACCAAAATCCTGAATTAAAAATGAATGTTTGTGAAATTGTTGATTCTGTTTCTGTCCCCAGGTAACCTTTTGATTGCTAACAGTAGAGCTGAATATATTTTATTTTCCTTTAAATACAGAGATTTGTAGATTATTCACTAGCAGTAGCTCAGTGTTATCTCTTTGCTTGCTTAAAGTGGCTGTAAACCCTGACATATACCCACTGAAGTGAAACAGACATGAAACAAATCCTACATATGTTGTGCCTGTTTATCTGCATCCTTTCCCCTCTACATCCTCCTATAACACACAGATCAAAGGCTTTTTCTCAGCTTCAGAAGGTAGGGATCTAATGTCAAACGCTGCAATGCATGACAGGCAAGCTCAGAGTAATCTGAGAGCTGAGTGGAGGGAATGGACACACCCCCTCTACAAACTCTCTTGGGAAACCATGCACAGCTATGACTGTCAATCACTTGCTGTGTTCTGGAGTGGGGGTGGGGGCCATCACCTTGGATTCTGTGGTGTTGAGTTAGACTGCCAGAGATAACTCTGATGATAGCAGAGAGAGGAGAGATTAGAAAGGAACCGCACTAGGTGTACTTTAACCATTTGCCCTCCAGAGGATTTACCCCCCTTCCTGACCAGGCCACTTTTTGCGATACGGCGCTCCGTTATTTTAACTGACAATTGCGCAGTCATGCAGCACTGCACCCAAATTAAGTTTATGTCCTTTTTTTCCCCCCACAAATAGAGATTTCTTTTGGTGGTATTTGATCACCTCTGCATTTTTATTTTTTGCGCTATAAACAAAAAAAGACCAACAATTTTGAAAAAAAAAAAACAATAACATTTTTTACTTTTTGCTATAAAACATATACAGTAAAAAAATTAAAAAAATCAAAACTGGTCATAAATGTAGGCCAAAATGTATTCCCAATACATGTAAATTAATTGGTTTACGTGAAAGTTATAGTGTCTACAAATGGTGGTATATATAATGACATTTTTTTTATACTAGTAATGGTGGCGATCAGCGACTTATAGCGGGACTGCGGAGGGCATTCTGACACTGGGGGGGAACTGACTAACTGCCACTGACATCCCAATAACACTAATACACTAATCAGTGCTAATAAAAAGCACTGACACTGTACTAATGACATTGGGCAGGAAGGGGTTAACATCTGGGGTGATCAAAGAGTTAATTGTGTGCTGTTTTACTGTGTGTGCTGTGTCTATTTTATTAAGGAAATATGCTGCTTTGTATTGCTCTGCTATGCAGGGCAATACAAAGCAGCATGTTGGTGCTGACTGGGGAGAGATCTGTGTTATTTACTCTCAGACCTCTCCCCTGTCCCTGTTCTTTGGCAATCGCCGGGTGACGGCGGGGAATCTCTGGCTGGGACCCGGTAATCGAAAGCTGTAGCCACCAATCGCAAATATCTGGAAATGCAAAATCACGTATATATACACGTGATTTTGCACAGCCCTGCCGCCCTGTAGCAGTAGTTCTACCATAGGGTGGCGGAGAACCGATTAAGCAATATAGATGGATTTACTTTGTTCATTTTTAATTTCAGGCGTTTACAACCACTTTAACAGCTTCTGAATTAAGAAATCAGCCACATAGGAAGTGCATTGTTGTCAATAAGTAACTAAATCATAGACTGGTGAAGATGGCTAGAAGAGAAGCATATATATGTCATGAACAAATATTGGATAGTGACAGATACATATATTTACAATATTTCATTATGTTCAAAAAGGGACATTTTAGATTACAGTTTATTCTCTGTACAGTAATCATCATAGCATTCTATATAATGTTTAAGTAACAAAGCAGAGCCATAAAGTTCAGTTACCCTTTCAGATTAGGAGAATTATGATGAAGAAATTAGCGAGCGCTCAAGATTCAAATGGAGTCAGCAACAAATGCACTAAAAAGGAAACCAAAAGACCTTAAATAACATATAAATGTAATGAGTGCAGCGCTATAGGGTTAATGATGTGCCACAATATCTGAAAATAAATTAAATGCAAAAAACAATGAATATATAAAGTCCTCCGTAAAGACACTAAGCACTATATATTAAATGCAACTACAAAAAGTCAATACACACAAAATTAAAGTTCATGTGTTGGTGAAAATCTGATCTGACATAAGTCCCGTGCCCAAGTGATTTCAAATTAATTCCATGTGATAATAATCTGTTCAGCAAAGTGCAGGGGATATGATAAAAAATGCATACTCACCAAATGCGCATAATAAATGCGCAATTAGTAGAATATTAATAGGTGGTATGATCTGCCAGAGGTCCCCTTTAAGGTGGATCAGATGTGCAGCCTGGAAAGAAACTCCCTCCTCTGGATCTGGGGCTGCCCTGCAGCCGTCCTCCAAATGGGATCCTGAAAGTTATTAGCAAAATACAGAACCAAGAAAGAGGGTGCCAATAGTGTAGTATTTAAATGTTTATTCCATTGAAAGCATAAATGTCATCCACGCGGAAAATAGATAAATTAGCAGAGCTGCAAAGTATGACACTGACCAGCCACTTTCTAAGATGGCTGCTGGACCTTCGTGAGGCTCCGGCGGCGTGACGTCCTGCTCTTCCTGTTCACTGTCCAAGTCACACAAACTACATACTTCCCAGATCAAGTTTTTCTTATAGTATTTGTGATTACATGCATCTAGACATGTTCAGAGTATCTCAACTGCCCCTGAATAAACAGAAGTCTAATTTCTCCAAATGCAGCTAAACTGCATTTTGTTGCATTTAGAAATGTTGTATAAATGCAAGAAGTGGATGTAAATTGTATGTATGTCATTGCTAGTGTGAAAGGCTTGAAGTTGACAGTGTGAAAATGAAGACCAGAACTCAAAATGTGAAGAAAAATTGTATCTAGTCCATAGACAGCAAATCAAAGAGCTTACAGAATGGCATTTTGGCACAATTTTACTGCTTCCTTTGGTTTATCCTTTTTATTGAAAAAAATACATCAAAAGCTGGCCATAAACAACTCAATTTTTGTCCAATTACCACCTGGCTTGACAAAAGTTGATTTAAAAATTGACTGAGCCAGGTGGAAAGGTAATGGCCAAACAGCAAATTTATCCTAAGGCTTTGTTCAGATATATGCATTTTGCATTTGATGCTTTCTCCAGTGCTTTTTGCAGTTTGTTTTGCCTTTTTCTACACGTGTTTTTACAGATTTTTGTGTTTTGTGTTGAGCTCTCTTTTTTTTTTGTTAAAGTGGAATTTTTTTTTATTGCTGGGCAGAATAAAAATGCAAAACGCGGCAAAATCACGGTAAAAAAGCACTACCATGCATCTCAGCAGCTACTCCATTGAACTCTACTGTAGCAAAAACACTGCTTTTTGCTTTTAATAAAGTCACTGACCCTTTCCAAAAATGCCAAAGCTCATTATTATTATATATACAGGATTTATATAGTGCCAACAGTTTGCTCAGCGCTTTACAATATAACGGAAGACAATACAGCAACAATACAGTTCAATACAAGAGGGTTAGGAGGGCCCTGCTCCTTGGAGCTTACAATCTAAGAGGGAGGGACTAGTGGTACAAAAGGTAATAACTGTGGGGGATGGACTGGTAGGAGGAATAGAAGACTCCATTATTAGCTGAGGGCAGGATAAGCTTCCCTGAAGAGATAGGTTTTCAGAGATCGCCTAAAAGTGAGCAGAGTAGGTGATAGTCTGATAAATTGGGGTAGAGAGTTCCAGAGGATGGGAGAAGCTCTGGAGAAGTCCTGGAGAGGAGCATGGGAGGAGGAGATGAGGGAGCAAGAGAGCAGGAGGTCGTGCAAGGAGCAGAGAGTACAGTTTGGGTGATATTTGGAGACAAGATTGGTGATGTAATTGGGGTGGAGTTATATATGGCTTTATATGTCAAAAAAGCACAGATGTGAGCACGTTCCATAGGAAACCATGTTAAATGTACTGTAGTGCGTTTCTGCAAAAAGCACTAAAAAACGCATTGGTGTGAACGGCGCCTGATAGATGAGGTCGCTGTTCAGCAGTGCAACTGTATATAGGAACCCACGGGTGCTTGAACACAATAGTGGCAGTGGAGATTTTTGCATCCTTGCTGATACCATTGATGGGGAACAATGCGCTCTGTGTGGTTACCCTAAAGGATTCATGTTGGATCTATTGCTCTGTGAACTATACTATCCTGTTAGTATGAGTGCTTTTGGAGTGGGGAGAAGAGGTGCTGCAGGTCTGGGCTATAACAATAGCAATGACTGGCAGATGCTATTGGTCTGGACTGGAGATAATTTCGAGATGGAACGAGCTGAATGAAAGTGAAGGATTGAGACCTTTAAATTCGATGCATTTTTGTGCAAGCCATAAAAAGAGAACCCATTTATTTCCAGCAAGATTTGTTGCTCTATCAAGTGCTATCGGTGTCATTTCTCAGATAAATTAATTTCTCACACAGAGGAAGAGGCTTGTCACACACATAAGGCTTCTACAGACCCTTAAAAGAAGCCACTACTTTCAGGCAAGGCTAAATCCTGGTATATCCAAATATTTGGTGTGAATTCTATACAAAGCCATGAAAACAGGAGCTGTAAATTAACTTTTCAGCTATACAGTGACTAGATATTATTGCTGCAACAGGGCATCTGTAGTATACTGATATACTCTGCATATATGATATAACGGCAGTCATCGGTATTCACACCTTCATACATCTGGAAGATGAAATGCCACTATGTAACATAAAACTTACTTAAAATGTGGCCTGCTTCACTTTATAACACCTAAAGCTGCATAGCATCAAAACAGGCGATATTAAAAATGACGGTGCTTCTAAGAACTAGAGAATTAAGTAGATACAAAAGTCTTTCATGGTAATGTACAATTACACCACTACTTCACAGCCTTCTAGGTATAATCACATAAGGGTTCCTAGCTGTCTTTTTTTTCTGTGGGCTATCAGACATTGTAAATGGCACCTCATATTGTTATATGAGTACAGCAGCTAAGACATCAGGACCAATGGCAGAAGCCTGGAGTCAGGCTGGCTTACTAGGAAGGGCCCATGAGCTTTAACCATGTTTATGCAGCCGTGCAGCTAAGTAATATATTGTGAAAAGAGACAGCAGTGAATACATTATTTAAAAAAAAACCCTTTGTTTGGCCTGTGAGAGTTTTTCCATCACTTATGCTATCAAAGGACAGTGCAGTCTATTAAAGAAAACGAAGTACATAATTTTGCAATAAATATCTAATGTTGCAGTAGAAATTCTGCACTACTTCATCAATGACAACAGCAGTATGTAAATAAGAAACTGATAGTCAGTACCAACACAGGAGGAGCGGCGCAGAGACACTTTACATTGACACTTCAAACTGGCAGCATTGATGATGAACTAATCATCCATTGCCTGGACTTAGAAAGCTCTCTGTGTTATGGGATAAAGTATTAATAAGCACGGAGCATCTTTCGGATTATGATTAGATTCCCATGGTGCAAAGGTTTCTCTATTGCCAAACGTTGTAAAAGCTCAGTGCCAGGTCCACTTAGACAGCTTAATTGTTCTTGTAGAGCGTTGGTGCTTTTACGGAATGAGACTTTTCCCCCTTTTGTCCCCAAATAAATCCGACAGCTCGAATAAGAATAAGAATGAAGAGGCAGACTGCAGAATGGCTAAATGAATACCAGCCTTTCCTGACTGGCCTGAGACCAAGCACTTTGCATTATGATGTGAATCAAGCTAGGGCAGCTGGCATGAAAATAACAGCACTTTGGCATATTTATAAGCCAAATTAAAAAGTTTACAGCGCCGCTGTCCTCAAGGACTTGATGTCAATATGTACCAAACCAACAGATGGATCATTATTAAGCCTCTGAACCAGAGAAAAAGAACCTGCTTAGTCAAAAGGGAATTTAAACAGGGACTAGTAGCTACCTGCTTTAAACATTTAACTCTTTTTTTTTTTTCAGAAAGCACAAGATGCTGCATTCAGGATTTAGACAGCTGACAGAGTAAATCACTCCATCTCAACCGGTCTAAAACCTGCACGGAATGTTATCTATTTTGTTGCTAGACTAATAACTTGGCCTGTCTGAGCAGGCACCACAAAAACTAAAGCCGGAAATAATTTGGCCACATCTACTACAGACGTCAGATTTCCAGCACAGCTGTGCACTAATGTTATAGGAGACCCATGCTAAAAACAAATCCTAGGGATGCCATTGCTGCACCCTCCCCGAAGATGCTGGCCACCTGACCATCATTCTGATTCTCTGGCCTCAAGTGTGTTTGAGTCACTGACCATTTATGCTGCAAGTGCTGTCCGAAGTGCCGATCTGCATATTGTTCTTTATCAGTGACTCGGTCTTTTAGCCAGAATATCTGCATGAGAGCCAGGCAACTTTCAC